GCCCCCCCCCCCCCCCGCCCTCTCCTCTCCCCCTTCCCAGGGGGTGGGGGGGTGTTCTTGGCCTCCAGGCAGGAGGGGCTCCCCAGGAAATCTTCTCCCCCCCCCCTCTCTCCCTCCATGACAGAAGCACGCCCTGCTGCCCCTTCAGCGGGAAGCGGGACCCTTTGGGGAAAGCAGAGCTCTGCTGCCCCTCGCTGTGGGCCACCCACCACCACGGACTGGTCCCGCTCCTTGCCTGACCTACCAGACCCCTGAACCCTGAGCCCTTCTGAAGGAGAGAGGATAAGCTAATGCTTTTTTCCTGTTGTGAAAGGGAGCTGTGGGTGTGAATAATCACTGAAGGGGGGTGGGGGTGGGGGTAGCGGAAAGTTCCTCAGGTTCCTAACCCACCTCCCCCAGGCTTCCTTTTTAAGAGCAGCACCGTAGCCCAGTAGCCCACGACACAGTTATTTATGTGTGTTGCCTCCCAGACCTCTCACAACAACTCAGGTCATAACAAGACCACCTCAGTCACGGCTACGGTTTTGGTGTAGTGTTTAAGTGTGTGGACTCTCATCTGGGAGAACCAGGTTTGATGCTCCACTCCTCCTCCACTCGCACCTGGCTGGATGACCTTGAAAAAGAGCAGTTTCTGTCAGGGCTCTCTCAGCCCCACTTACCTCACAGGGTGTCTGTTGTGGGGAGGGGAAGGAAAGGGAAAGGGGGTTGTCAGCCGCTCTGAGACGCCTTCGGGTAGTGAAGGGCCATGGGGTATAAATCCAATCTCCTCCTCCTCCTCTTCTTCTTTTGTCAGTTTGGTGTCATGGTGAAGTGCGCGGACTCTAATCTGGGAGAACCGGGTTTGATGCCCCACTCCTCCTCCACTCGCACCTGGCTGGATGACCTTGAAAAAGAGCAGTTTCTGTCAGGGCTCTCTCAGCCCCACTTACCTCACAGGGTGTCTGTTGTGGGGAGGGGAAGGAAAGGGAAAGGGGGTTGTCAGCCGCTCTGAGACGCCTTCGGGTAGTGAAGGGCCATGGGGTATGAATCCAATCTCCTCTTCTACTGGGAGGTGTGACAGGGAGGGCGAGAACCTGAGAAAGCACCTGGCTGTCACAGGCTCTCAGTCCAGTTTTCTGTGTAATATTCTCACTTCCCACTTGCGCAGAGAATGTTGTTTTACTTTTGGGGGGATTTAAACCCACCCCCTCGTGCATTTTTTTTAATTCAGATTTTTCTGCAAATCTGTTTCGCCTCGACGTGGCTCCAATCTGCAGATTTAGCTACCCACAGATGAGGGCCACGGGTGGCTAATAGTGTATAGATTTAAGTGAAGGGACCAAGGAGAAAAGGTGATGGGAAACCTGAGGCTTCTAAAAAATGAAAGCTGGGGATTCAGAAGTGGGGTGTGACATATTGGAGGGGCACTGCCTCTGTATGCCCCCCACAACTACAGGCCGGCTGCCATGTCTACACACCTCCCCCCTTACTTCCAAATACAAAACTACCAAAAAAAGGGGGGGGGGGATATGGACACAAGAACATTTTTAGTCTCCCAGGACACACAGTTGCTGATTTAAAAGTCACTTTTCTCCAGCAAAACAAACAAGAAACTTTCAAAAAGAAACTCCAGCATGCAAACCTCTGAATAATCGTTCCTCAGTAAATCTGACATCTCCCCAGGCTTTAACAATGACCTTGGGTTCTTCAGCTATTACCAGCTTAGAGAAATTTTGGACATTGTCAGTTACTGGTTTTGTGAATGGTCTCTGTACTTTTCTTGATTACCTTTGGATTTTGCATAATTACACCTCAGCCTGTAGTTCATGCATTCCATGGTTCTGTGATCCTGCTTTCCCCTTTTTCTCCAAAAAGGCATAGATACATGCCTGTCTAGTGACAGATATATATGCACCTCATGCATCTCATGAAGGAGGCTGTAGGCTCTACAAGTTCTGCTGGAATAAAAACTTGTTGGCCTTTCAGATGCCACAAGACTCCTGATTCTTTGTTTTTTTCTGCAGCAGATGAACACAGGTGCCCATCTAGAATTGTCTCCAAGTTACACTCTTTTTCATTTGTATTAAAAATAACCAATCAACTGGAAGACAGAATATTCTTCCTCTACTCTCCCTTCACCTCTTGCTGTTGGGGTACCAGGTTTGTCTGTAGCCAGCACTCACGCTCTCATGCATACACATGGATCCTTACTGGTCCTCCTAGGCTGCAGCAGGAAACAAAGGGTTTTCTTCACTTGGACACACTCAGTTCTGAAGGAACCCGTCATTTGCTAACTAGGAGGAATATGCAGTGCTGATGCATGACTTCTATAGAATCTGTCAAACCAAGCACTGAGGAATAGTTGAAAAGGAGTGCTCTTACCCAGATCCTATTCCACACCACTACCCAACAACTTAATGGGACAGCATGCCCAAAATGCTTGGCAGGCTTCCAGAGAGTATAGCAAAGGGTGTAGGCATCGTAGTCCCCGGGTCTAGCCTTCTGTGAAGGAACAGGCTTGCAAGCCCTCACTCTTTCACTGGCATGCTCCCTGGGAGGTCAGGAAACTCTCCCAAGTCTCGGCAATACTGCCTCTTCCTCTTATTTCCTGGGGTTACCCAAAACAACTGGGTACCACCCACTGCAACTAGTAATTCTGAGAGTATCACCTGCTCAGTGGAGTTGCGTGTCTAGCACTCAGTACCTGTCTTGCCACTTGGAGGCCCCACCTAGTTGCTATACCTAACTTCTTCACTCCTACAAGAGGCAAAGGGAAATGTATCACAACTTTGCAATTTTGAGCTATTCTTCTTCTCTCTGTTACCACAGTCCAGAAAGCGAGGGACTAGGCACGGTGTGTTTCCAGAGATCAGGCTTAGAGCATATAGGAAAGTTAAATCAATGAATAAAAATCATACACATGGTTTGTTCAAGCATTCAAGCTGAGCAAAGCTACAAAGAAAAGGTGAGATTTTCCTACCCTAAAGTCAATACTTATCCTAAACAATGTTGAAATAGGATGGGCCACTATTACTAGAAGTTTCAGTAGTTTAAAGTTCATAATTAGCTCAGTTCTCATAGTTGGGACTTCTCCCCGTTGTCCCTCGCCACATGGACAAGATGGAGTCCATAGGTCAATGTCGAGCTCTGTGTGGCTTGTCCTCTCCCATTAAAGACCTTCTTCTCTGTCCATAGAATTTATAATCTCCCTTTTAGAGAATCCATCCTCTCCCTGGCATCATTCATCCCTTTCTGCTTTACATGAAAGGTTTACTCTCCCTCATAGCTGTCTCTGTCCCTTTAGGTGTGATATTCTAACAGGGTATGAGATGAGATGGTAAACCAGAGCTGTTAGCATACATAAACCCTAAAGTACTCTGTACTTGGCACTTGATGGCTCATCCCTTGGCCAGCTCTGAATTCACAGATGGATTTCAACAGAGTGCAGTCACAATGACTGAAATATTGGTGTGGATTCTTGGGTCAAGGACATTTCTCTACACAAAGTTTAGCCCCTGGCATCTGCCAAAGTGCAGTTTTCCTCTGCAGACCCTCCCTGGAGACTTGAAAACAAAGGCAGCCTTGCAGTTCAGAGTGATTGCACAAAATAGCCCCCGGTGGAACCCCCTTTGGCGTGTCAGAGAAGAATCCAGAAGAACCAGGTTCAAGCCCCCGCTCCACTACAGAAGTTTGCTGGGTGACCATGGGCCAGTCAATCTCAGCCTAACCTCCCTTCCTGGGTGGATGTTTTGAGAATAAAATGGGGGAGAGGGGAAGATATTGTAAACTGCTTTGGATCCTCCTTGTGGAGAAAAGCAGGGCATAAATATAAAATTAAAAACAAACAATGCAGATTTCTTCCTGCTATTCACCAAGAAGAGGCATGTGACTCCCTGTTTCCTTCCTTTCCTCTCTTTGCAGACATCCGTGGGCCATTCCTGAAGGGAGCAGAAGAATCCTTTGCCTGTGTGAGCAGAGCCCAGAGCAGTTCCCCCACCAGAATGGAGCCGAGGGAGTCTGCATCTGAGAGCCAGCATGTCTCCACAGCCCTGCCAGGGGGCTGCCTCTCGCCTAGGACCCCTGCAGCAGAAGAAAAAGTGGGCACAGACACCAAAAGCATTGCAGGAGTCTATGTGGAGGCTTCTGCCAAGACCATGAGTCTCTATGAAGCCGTGCAAGAGCATTTCCTCCAGCCGGATCTTGCATTGTCTCTGCTGGAGGCGCAGGCGGCTACGGGTGGCATCATTGACTGGAGGAGAAAGCAGCTGCTCTCTGTGGCAGAGGCACTGAGGATGGGGCTGGTCGGGCTAGAGATGAAGGAAAGGCTCTTGTCTGCTGAGCGAGCAAGAACTGGCTTTGTAGACCCCTATACGGAGGAGAAGATCTCTCTCTACCAAGCCATCCAAAAAGATCTAATTGGAAAGGAACAGGGCCTGTACCTCCTAGATGCCCAGATAGCCACAGGAGGCATTATGGAGCCCAGCACTGGCCACCGTGTCTCTCTTCAGGAGGCGTGTGAGCACGGCTACCTGGGTGAGGAAATTAGGAACCTACTTTGTGATCCTGGGAATCAGGCAGCTAAGGGCTTCTGGGACCCAAACAGCAACCAGAAGGTTACCTACATGGAACTGATGAGAAGGTGCATAGCAGATCCAGCCAGTGGCTTGCTTGTCTTGCCACTGAAAATATCTTTCCCTGGACTGAGAGGGGGTGTGTGCAGCCATGAACTGCTGGATTCTGGAATAATTGATTCTGCCCTCTTCAAAGCCCTCCATAACGGGGAGATCACAGCACAGGAAGTTGCAGAAATGGACTCTGTTAAGCAGTACCTCTCAGGGACAGGCAGCATAGCAGGTGTGGCTGTGCTGGAAACCAATGACTGCAGGAGCATTTACCAGGCTCTAACGGAGCACCTCCTCGTTCCAGGCACGGCGGTGACCCTCCTGCAGGCTCAAGCTGCAACAGGCTGCTTAATTGACCCTGTAAAGAATGAAAAATTCACTGCTGATGCTGCCGTGCGGGCAGGAGTCGTTGGACCAGAACTTCATGAGAAATTGTCCGCAGCGGAGAGAGCTGTCACTGGGTACAAAGACCCCTACACTGGGGAGACAGTCTCTCTGTTTCAAGCCATTAAGAAGGGCCTTGTTCCCAGGGATCCTGGCATTTTCCTGCTCGATGCCCAGCTTGCCACTGGTGGCATTATTGATCCTCACACGCATCACCGGCTTCCTGTGGAGGTGGCCTTCCAGCGAGGCCTTTTAGACAGAGACACACACACCCTCCTCTGCCGTCCCACCGATGACATCCGCGGGTTCCTTGAGCCCAACTCCAAGGAGACCCTGTCTTATGCAGAACTGCTGCTAAGATGTGTCACTGATCCAGACACGGGGCTCTACCTCCTACCTCTTTCTGGAGACCCCAGCGGGGCACATTCCTTCATTGACCACAGGACACAGTTTGCTCTAAAGAGCACAGAAGTGTCTGTGGCCTGTGGCAAATTCCAGGGGAAACAGATGTCACTCTGGAAACTCCTTTTCTCAGACTACTTCACAGGAAAGCAGAGGCGATCCCTCATCCAGCAGCTCCGCTCTGGGGGCCTCTCCACTCAGGAACTGGCTGACATCATCTGTGACTCCATCCGGCAAGTGGCTGCCAATTCCAGAGTCACGTTTGAAGGCCTCAGGGAAAAGGTGACCCCTGCTCAACTCCTGAGTTCCAAAATCATCAACCAAGATTTGTTTGAGAAGCTAACCCAGGGGGAAGCATTGGCCAAAGATGTTGTTGGCATGGGCCCGGTCAAAAAGTACTTGGAAGGGACTGGCAGCATTAGTGGCTTAATCCTGCCTGACTCTGAGGAGCGAATCAGCATCTACCAAGCAAAGAGAAAGGGCTTCCTGCGACCAGGAACATCCCTCATTCTCCTTGAGGCACAGGCTGCCACGGGATACCTCATTGACCCTGCCGCCAATAAGAAATACTCTGTGGACGAGGCCCTGCGTGCAAATCTCATTGGTCCAGAGATTTATGACAAGCTCCTCGCTGCTGAGAAAGCCGTCACTGGCTACACAGACCCATACACTGGTGACAAGATCTCCCTCTTCCAGGCCATGATGAAGGACCTCATCGTTAGAGAGCATGCCATCCGTCTCCTGGAGGCTCAAATTGCCACTGGAGGCATCATTGACCCCATCAACAGCCACCGCCTCCCAGTGGAAGCCGCCTACCAGAGGGGCTACTTTGACAAGAAGATGAACCTGGTCCTCTCAGACCCCAGTGAGGACACCAAGGGCTTCTTCGATCCCAACACACACGAGAACCTGACCTACCTGCAGCTGAAGGAGAAGTGCATCACAGAAGGCTCCACTGGCCTCTGCCTCCTGCCACTGAACAGCAAAAGGCGCCAATTCATCGATGATGCCACCAAGCAGGCTTTCAGGGGCTCATGGCTCTATGTAAAATATGGCCGTTTCCAAGGGCAAAGGGTGTCTCTGTGGGATCTGCTGAACTCTGAGTACTTCAGTGAGGGTAAGAGACGGGAAATATTTAATCACTACCACCTATGCATGGTCACCCTAGAGCAAATCAAGCTCATGCTGGAGGAGGAGATGAAGAAGTGGGTCCCCATAAAATTTTCAGCCATGAGGGGCCACGTCACTGCCTATCAGTTGATGGAATCTGGTATCCTTGACCGGGACCTCTTTGAAAGATTGCTGGAGGGAGCGGTGAGCCCAGAGGAGGTGCTGCGCATGGATTCAGTCAGGAAATACCTCTACGGCACCAGCAGCATTGGGGGAATTGTTCTGAAGCCCTCCAATGAGAAAGTGGGCCTCTATGAAGCCATGAGGAGAAATATCGTCCTGCCAGGCGTGGTGGTACCCTTGCTCGAGGCACAGGCAGCCACTGGGTTCCTCATTGATCCAGTGAGCAGACAGAAGGTCTGCCTGGATGATGCAGTGAAGGGTGGTCTCATTGGTCCAGAGCTCTATGACAAGCTGCAGCGTGCAGAAGAAGCTGTCACTGGCTACAAAGATCCTTTCACCGGCGAGAAGATCTCACTCTTCCAAGCCATGAAAAGGGGTCTTGTGCCTGACAAACAGGCCATGAGGCTGTTAGATGCCCAGCTGTCCACTGGGGGAGTAATAGATCCTCACAGGGGCCACTATATCCCTGTAGAATTTGCCCAGAAAAAAGGCTACTTAGATGGGAACCTCAGCAGCATCCTTTCCCACTCAGACAGTGATGCCAAAACTTTCAGCACTCTTGACAGCAAGGAGAAGGTGACCTACAGCCAGCTGATAGATCGGTGTCAGCAGGACGAAGGCTCAGGTTTCCGCCTACTGCCCCTGTCACAAACAGCATCTCTTGTCTGCACAGATGAGCAACTTGAACATCTATTCAGGGATACCCTGGTGAAGGAAAAGGGACTTACTCTCTGGGAGCTCCTCAACTCTGGCTACTTCACTGAAGAGCAGAGAAGAGATTTCTTTGAGAAGTTTAGGTCTGAGGCAATATCACTCCAGCAGTTGATCAGCCTTGTTTTGGGACTCGTTAAGGAAATGGAAATGAAGGCTCAAGCCCAGGTCACCTTCCAAGGCTTGAGAGGAACAGTGCCAGCTGTCTGGCTCCTGGATAACGGCATTCTTTCAGGAAAGATATTCACAGAGCTGGTGCAGGGCAGGAGGACAGCTGAAGAAGTGGCTGAGATGGAGAGCGTGAAGCAATATCTGCAGGGCACTGGGAGCATTGCAGGGGTTTTCATTCAAGCTTCCAAAGAGAAAATGGGCATCTACCAAGCCATGCAGAAAAACGTCCTCATGCCAGGCATGGGGGCAAGGCTTCTGGAAGCTCAGGCAGCCACAGGGACCATCATGGGCCTGGGGTCAAACCAGAGGCTCGGTGTAGAGGAGGCCATCAAGGCTGGCATAGTGGGCAGAGAGCTTACAGAACAGCTGCTTCAGGCCGAGAGGGCACTGACAGGCTACAGAGACCCTTACTCAGGCAGGCTGATCTCAGTGTGCCAGGCCATCAGGAAAGAGCTGATCCCTGCTGCGGCTGGCATCCCTTTGCTGGAAGCTCAGCTGGCCACTGGAGGGGTCATTGATCCCATCCACCACCATCACCTTCCTCTCCAGTCTGCCTACAAGCATGGTCTCTATGATGAAGACATGCACAAGACTCTTTCTCAGCCCACTGATGACTCCTGCGTCTTCTTTGACCCCAACACACAAGAGAGCCTGACCTATCAGCAGCTGAAGGACAGATGCATTCAAGATCCACAAACAGGGCTATTGCTGCTTCCTCTCTCAGAAGACGCTGCTTTTTATGGGGACAAGCAAATTATGGAGGTGCTGAAATCAGAAACCATTTGTGTCAGCATTGGGCGGTTTAAAGGGCAAGTGGTTTCTCTCTGGGATCTACTGAACTCTGAGTACATCTCCAATAGCAAGCGGAGAGAGCTGCTGATGGCCTACAAAGAGGGGGATGCTGAGGCACTTCAGGAAATCATCACAGTCATCACCAAGGTCATTGCAGAGACTGAAACTCAAGGCAAGAGGTTCACCTTCAAGGGTTTGCGCAAGCAGGTGTCAGCCAGTGACCTTTTCCAGGCAGAGCTCATAGACAAGGAAACTCTGGATGAACTTCACCAGGGAAAGAAGACTGTCCAGGAAGTCACCGAGATGGACTCAGTCAGGAAGTTCCTGGAGGGCTGTAACTTCATAGCTGGAGTCCTTATACAGCCAAGCCGTGAAAAGATGGGTGTCTACCAGGCCATGAGGCAGGGTCTCCTTAGACCAGGAATGGCCCTGGTGCTTCTAGAGGCCCAGGCTGCCACTGGGTTTCTCATTGACCCAGTGAAAAACAAGAAACTGTCAGTAGATGAAGCGATGGCAACAGGGCTGATTGGAAGAGAAATTTATGAGAAACTGCTGAGTGCAGAAAGAGCAGTGACTGGATAAACACACACCTACACGAAAGAACAGATCTCTCTCTTTGAGGCCATGAATGAAGAGCTCATTGTGAGAAGCCACGGCATCCGCCTGCTGGAGGCCCAGATCGCCACGGGAGGCATCATTGACCCCGTTCACAGTCACCGTATCCCCGTAGAGGTAGCTTACAAGCGGGGCTATTTTGACAAAAAGATGAGCCAAATCCTTTCAGACCCCACAGACGATACCAAAGGGTTTTTTGACCCCAACACACACGAGAACCTCACTTACCTCCAGCTACTAGAACGATGCGTTCAAGACTCAGAGACTGGACTGTATATGCTGCAAATAGTGAGAAGGGGGGAAAGGTACTTCTATATCGATGAGACAACGAAACAATTTCTACAAGCAAAAATGATCCAGATGCACGTAGGGAAGTACAAAAGCCAGACTGTCTCCATATGGGACCTCCTCTGTTCCCCATACATTCAAGAACAGAGGAGGAAAGACCTGGTAAGACAGTACAAGTGTGAAATGCTGACATTAGAACGTCTTATCAGCATCATCACCACAACCATTGAGGAAACAGAACAGAGAACGGAGAAACTGAAGGTTAAGGGCCTCAGAGGGGAGGTATCAGCTGCAGAGCTGTTCAACTCAGAGATAATTGACAAGAAAACGCTAGATGGGCTCTATCATCAAGGGGCTCATGCTCTCAACCAGCTTAGCCAGAAGGATCCTGTGAAACGATACCTGGAAGGAACTGGCTGCATAGCAGGGGTCTCTGTGGCATCAAAGAAGATGACTATCTATGAAGCTATGAGGACAGGGCTTCTCTCCCCAGAAAATGGTCTCGTGCTACTAGAGGCACAGGCAGCCACTGGCTTCATCACTGACCCACTGAAGAAGAAAACATTCTCTGTTGACCAAGCTGTCTCTGCTAGAATTGTAGGTGATGAAATTCACGAGAAGCTTATTTTTGCAGAGAAAGCTGTTACTGGATACACTGACCCTGCCACAGGGAACAAACTTTCACTCTTCCAGGCTATGAAGAAGAACATCGTTGAGAAAGCCTATGCTCTCAGACTGCTGGAAGCCCAGATTGCCACTGGTGGCATCATTGACCCTGAATATGGCCATCGCATCCCTGTGCAGGTAGCTTACAAACGTGGCTATTTGGATGAAGATGTCCTTGTCCTACTTTCTGATCCAGAATACGGCATCAAAGGGTTTGTGGATCCCAACACACACAAAAGGATTACATATGCTCATCTCCTTCAGAGATGTGTCAAAGACAAAGACACAGGGATGTACCTCCTACAGCTGCTTGACAAAAGGGAATACTTCTATGTAGATGACACAACAAAAAATATTCTGTCATCCACCAAAGTGAATGTAAAGCTTGGGAAATATGCAGGGCAGACTTTCTCTGTGTGGGAACTTCTTTGTTCAGATTATTTCAATGAAGAAAAGAGAAAAGAGTTGATAAAAAGATACAAGCAGAGATCCTCAGTTAGTCTTCAACACATCACAAATGAAATCCTGAACATCATAGAAGGAAAAGAAAGAAACAGAAGGGATATATGGTTCCAAGGTCTACGGCAACAAGTTACAGCTTCAGAATTATTCAAAGCTGACATAATAAGTCAGGACACAATAAAGAAGCTGGAGGAGGGAAGACAGACTGTCCAAGAAGTGGCAAACATGGATTCAGTCAGGAGATACCTGGAAGGCACCAGCTGCGTTGCCGGAGTGCTTGTGCCATCCATATCAGACCCTTCCAAGATGCAGAAGATGACCATCTATGAGGCCATGTGGAGGCGCATTCTGAGGCCAGGCACAGCCCTAGTACTGCTGGAGGCACAGGCTGCCACAGGATTCATCATTGACCCCGTGAAGAACGAGAAACTCTCTGTTGATGATGCCGTCTCTACTGGATTAGTGGGTGGAGAAATACATAGCAAACTCCTTGCCGCAGAGAAAGCTGTGACGGGATACACTGACCCATACACAGGGAAAAGAATTTCACTTTTCCAGGCAATGAAAAGAGATCTTATACTTAAAGAACATGGAATCCGCTTGCTTGAGGCTCAGATTGCAACAGGAGGTATAATTGATCCAGTCAACAGTCATCGCATTCCTGTTGAAGTGGCTTATAAACGGGGCTACTTTGATGAGCATCTGAACCAAGTTCTCTCAGATCCTACAGATGACACCAAGGGCTTCTTCGATCCCAACACCCATGAGAACCTCACATATATGCAGCTGATTAAAAGGTGCACACGTGACCCAGACAAAGGACTATTAATGCTTCAGATAAAAGACAAGGGCTACGGTGCCTTTGATTCAGAGGAGAACATCAGGAAGACTTTGAAGTCTACAACAATAAAAGTCAGTTTAGGACAATTCCAAGACCAGGATGTTTCTCTCTGGGACCTTCTTTTCTCTACATACATTTCTCAATATAAAAGGCAACAACTTTTAGAAGAGTATGAAGATGGAAAAATAACTCTAAAGGAAATCACCACCACAGTTAAATCCATTATAACAAACACTTCAAACCTGAATGTAGAGGGGAAAACATCACACAAAGAAGACAACACTTTAAAGAACAATGAGCACTGGGGAAAAAGCTTGCAGACAGTTAACATGACGATAAAACAAGAAGGTCATCCAGACAAATATCTCTCAGTGTGGGATGTTCTATTGTCTCCGACCATCCCAGAAGACAAAAGAAAAGAGCTTCTGAGCAACTACAGAAAGGGCAAAGTAAGCCTCAAGGAGCTCACAGAAATCCTTGCTTCGTTCTTTGCAGAGACCACAAGCAGAGTGACTATACATTCCGGGGGCCCAGACACACCTAGTCCAGCCATGGCATCTTTAGCAGAAGAAGAGGAGGTGGAGGATGCTTCCGATGCAACAGAACGGGGTGAGAAGGAAAGGACCTTGAAGGCCCGGATGGTTGAAATCACTGTTGGTGAGTTCCGTGGCAAGAAGGTCTCCATCTGGGACCTGCTCCATTCCAAGTACATCCCTGAAGAGAAGAGGAAAGAGATCCTGCACCTGTACAGGACTGGCATTCTCACCATTGACCAGGTGGAAACCGTGGTCACCGGCATCGTAAGCAGAACAGAGGAGGAGAAAAAGAAAGAAGCCGCCTCCCTCTCAGACGCTCCGTCATCCTGGGAAGACCCCTTACGGAATCACACTGTGGTCCTGCATGTCGGTGAATTCCAAGGCCAGGAAGCCTCCCTGTGGGATCTCCTCTTCTCTCACTACATTCCAGACAGCCAAAGAGAGGAGTTGTTGACAAAGTACCAGTCAGGAATCTTGAGCATTTCCGATATGATTGCCACACTCGCCTCCATTCTCACAGAAAGGGAGGGAAGCCACATCCAAGATGCAGGAAGCGGTCTGGCCAGCGAGACGACTCTGTCCCAGGCGGGTGGAACTACCCCTGCTATGCAGGATCAAGAGCTGGAACAGGCATTACGGATGATGACCGCCAACGTGCCTGTAGGTGAATTCCAAGGCCACCAGCGTTCCGTCTGGGAGCTCCTCTTCTCCAAATATGTGACTGTAGAGAAACGGCAAGAGCTCCTGCAGATGTATCGATCGGGCGCTATCAGTGCTGAGGAACTCATCCGGATAATCATCACCCTGATTGAAGAAACAGAAGAGAGGAGCAACACCTTGAAGTTCCCTGGTCTCAGGAGGCAAGTGTCTGCCTCGGAACTCTTCAGCTCCCAAATCATTGATCGAGACACACTGTCTGATCTCACGCGGGGAGCCAAGACCGTGGAGGAGATCACAGAGATGGATTCGGTGAAGAGGTACCTGGAAGGCACCAGCTGCATTGCCGGAGTGCTGGTGCCATCCAAGTCAGACCCTTCCAAGATGCAGACGATGACCATCTACGAGGCCATGTGGAAGGGCATTCTCACGCCAGGCACTGCCCTGGTGCTGCTGGAGGCACAGGCCGCCACCGGGTTCATCATTGACCCGCTGAAGAACGAGAAACTCTCTGTCGATGACGCCGTCTCTGCCGGACTGGTGGGTGCCGAGCTCCAGGAGAAGCTTCTCTCTGCAGAGAAGGCCGTGACCGGGTACAACGACCCCTATACAGGGAACAAAATCTCCCTTTTCCAGGCGATGAACAAAGGCCTCATTGTCAAAGACCACGGCATCCGCCTGCTGGAGGCCCAGATTGCCACCGGGGGCATCATCGATCCTGTGCATAGCCACCGCCTCCCCGTGGAGATGGCATACAAGCGGGGCTACTTTGATGAGGAGATGAACCAGATCCTCTCAGATCCAACTGATGACACCAAGGGCTTCTTCGACCCCAACACTCACGAAAACCTCACGTACATGCAGCTTCGGCTCAGATGCATCCCTGATCCGGATACCGGTTTGCTGATGCTTCACTTGATGGAAAAGGGCTCCTTATTCTTTGCTCTAAATGACAACACACGGAAGTCTTTGCAGTCTGCCAAGACCACGGTCGGCGTGGGGATTTTCCAGGGCCCGGAGGTCTCCGTCTGGGACCTCCTCTTCTCCAGGTACGTCCCTCCGCACAAGAGGCAGGAACTACTAAGGCAATACAAAGCTGGCACTATCACTCTCCAGGACGTCATCCAAATCCTCACCGCTATCGTCACTGAGACTGAGGAAAGGAACACCAGACACACCGAGTCCCACAAACAACCTCCCAGTCCACCCAAAAGAGAACCACTCAAACCTGATGCGACTCATCCAAGCCAGGAGGAAACCTGGGAAACAACCTTGAAGACCACAGCCACCAACATGCCTGCAGGCGAACACCAAGGTCAGCAAGTCTTTGTGTGGGATCTGCTCTTCTCCAGTTACATCACTGAGGAAAAGAGGACAGAATTGCTGGAGCTGTACAGGAGAGGGATGCTGCCGATCGACCGGCTGATCACCATCCTCACCACTCTTGTCCTGAAAAAAGAATCCACAAATAGGAAACTTGACATCAAAGTGAGAAGCCCATCCCACGAGAGGGCGGCAGATGAAGAAGCCCATCTTTCCCCCCGCTCGGGGCCAGAAAACTGGGAAACTTCCTTGCGGTCTCATCACATCCAAGTGCCCCTTGGTGAGTGGCAAAGCCAACAGCTATCGCTGTGGGATGCCCTCTTCTCCCAGTTCGTCCCAGATAAGGAACGAGAAGAACTTCTGAGCAACTACAGAAAGGGCAAAGTAAGCCTCGAGGAGCTCACAGAAATCCTTGCTTCCTTCTTTGCTGAGACCACAAGCAGAGTGACTATGCAGTCCGGGGGCCCAGACACACCTAGTCCAGCCATGGCATCTTTAGCAGAAGAAGAGGAGGTGGAGGATGCTTCCGATGCAACAGAACGGGGTGAGAAGGAAAGGGCCTTGAAGGCCCGGATGGTTGAAATGACTGTTGGTGAGTTCCGTGGCAAGAAGGTCTCCATCTGGGACCTGCTCCATTCCAAGTACATCCCTGAAGAGAAGAGGAAAGAGATCCTGCACCTGTACAGGACTGGCATTCTCACCACTGACCAGGTGGAAACCGTGGTCACCGGCATCGTAAGCAGAACAGAGGAGGAGAAAAAGAAAGAAGCCACCTCCCTCTCAGACGCTCCGTCATCCTGGGAAGACCCCTTACGGAATCACACTGTGGTCCTGCATGTCGGTGAATTCCAAGGCCAGGAAGCCTCCCTGTGGGATCTCCTCTTCTCTCACTACATTCCAGACAGCCAAAGAGAGGAGTTGTTGACAAAGTACCAGTCAGGAATCTTGAGCATTTCCGATATGATTGCCACACTCGCCTCCATTCTCACAGAAAGGGAGGGAAGCCACATCCAAGATGCAGGAAGCAGTCTGGCCAGCGAGACGACTCTGTCCCAGGCGGGTGGAACTACCCCTGCTATGCAGGATCAAGAGCTGGAACAGGCATTACGGATGATGACCGCCAACGTGCCTGTAGGTGAATTCCAAGGCCACCAGCGTTCCGTCTGGGAGCTCCTCTTCTCCAAATATGTGACTGTAGAGAAACGGCAAGAGCTCCTGCAGATGTATCGATCGGGCGCTATCAGTGCTGAGGAACTCATCCGGATAATCATCACCCTGATTGAAGAAACAGAAGAGAGGAGCAACACCTTGAAGTTCCCTGGTCTCAGGAGGCAAGTGTCTGCCTCGGAACTCTTCAGCTCCCAAATCATTGATCGAGACACACTGTCTGATCTCACGCGGGGAGCCAAGACCGTGGAGGAGATCACAGAGATGGATTCGGTGAAGAGGTACCTGGAAGGCACCAGCTGCATTGCCGGAGTGCTGGTGCCATCCAAGTCAGACCCTTCCAAGATGCAGACGATGACCATCTACGAGGCCATGTGGAAGGGCATTCTCACGCCAGGCACTGCCCTGGTGCTGCTGGAGGCACAGGCCGCCACCGGGTTCATCATTGACCCGCTGAAGAACGAGAAACTCTCTGTCGATGACGCCGTCTCTGCCGGACTGGTGGGTGCCGAGCTCCAGGAGAAGCTTCTCTCTGCAGAGAAGGCCGTGACCGGGTACAACGACCCCTATACAGGGAACAAAATCTCCCTTTTCCAGGCGATGAACAAAGGCCTCATTGTCAAAGACCACGGCATCCGCCTGCTGGAGGCCCAGATTGCCACCGGGGGCATCATCGATCCTGTGCATAGCCACCGCCTCCCCGTGGAGATGGCATACAAGCGGGGCTACTTTGATGAGGAGATGAACCAGATCCTCTCAGATCCAACTGATGACACCAAGGGCTTCTTCGACCCCAACACTCACGAAAACCTCACGTACATGCAGCTTCGGCTCAGATGCATCCCTGATCCGGATACCGGTTTGCTGATGCTTCACTTGATGGAAAAGGGCTCCTTATTCTTTGCTCTAAATGACAACACACGGAAGTCTTTGCAGTCTGCCAAGACCACGGTCGGCGTGGGGATTTTCCAGGGCCAGGAGGTCTCCGTCTGGGACCTCCTCTTCTCCAGGTACGTCCCTCCGCACAAGAGGCAGGAACTACTAAGGCAATACAAAGCTGGCACTATCACTCTCCAGGACGTCATCCAAATCCTCACCGCTATCGTCACTGAGACTGAGGAAAGGAACACCAGACACACCGAGTCCCACAAACAACCTCCCAGTCCACCCAAAAGAGAACCACTCAAACCTGATGCGACTCATCCAAGCCAGGAGGAAACCTGGGAAACGACCTTGAAGACCACAGCCACCAACATGCCTGCAGGCGAACACCAAGGTCAGCAAGTCTTTGTGTGGGATCTGCTCTTCTCCAGTTACATCACTGAGGAAAAGAGGACAGAATTGCTGGAGCTGTACAGGAGAGGGATGCTGCCGATCGACCGGCTGATCACCATCCTCACCACTCTTGTCCTGAAAAAAGAATCCACAAATAGGAAACTTGACATCAAAGTGAGAAGCCCATCCCACGAGAGGGCGGCAGATGAAGAAGCCCATCTTTCCCCCCGCTCGGGGCCAGAAAACTGGGAAACTTCCTTGCGGTCTCATCACATCCAAGTGCCCCTTGGTGAGTGGCAAAGCCAACAGCTATCGCTGTGGGATGCCCTCTTCTCCCAGTTCGTCCCAGATAAGGAACGAGAAGAACTTCTGAGCAACTACAGAAAGGGCAAAGTAAGCCTCGAGGAGCTCACAGAAATCCTTGCTTCCTTCTTTGCTGAGACCACAAGCAGAGTGACTATGCAGTCCGGGGGCCCAGACACACCTAATCCAGCTGTGACATCTTTAGCAGAAGAGGAGGAGGCGGAGGATGCTTCCGATGCAACAGAACGGGGTGAGAAGGAAAGGGCCTTGAAGGCCCGGATGGTTGAAATGACTGTTGGTGAGTTCCGTGGCAAGAAGGTCTCCATCTGGGACCTGCTCCATTCCAAGTACATCCCTGAAGAGAAGAGGAAAGAGATCCTGCACCTGTACAGGACTGGCATTCTCACCACTGACCAGGTGGAAACCGTGGTCACCGGCATCGTAAGCAGAACAGAGGAGGAGAAAAAGAAAGAAGCCACCTCCCTCTCAGACGCTCCGTCATCCTGGGAAGACCCCTTACGGAATCACACTGTGGTCCTGCATGTCGGTGAATTCCAAGGCCAGGAAGCCTCCCTGTGGGATCTCCTCTTCTCTCACTACATTCCAGACAGCCAAAGAGAGGAGTTGTTGACAAAGTACCAGTCAGGAATCTTGAGCATTTCCGATATGATTGCCACACTCGCCTCCATTCTCACAGAAAGGGAGGGAAGCCACATCCAAGATGCAGGAAGCGGTCTGGCCAGCGAGACGACTCTGTCCCAGGCGGGTGGAACTACCCCTGCTATGCAGGATCAAGAGCTGGAACAGGCATTACGGATGATGACCGCCAACGTGCCTGTAGGTGAATTCCAAGGCCACCAGCGTTCCGTCTGGGAGCTCCTCTTCTCCAAATATGTGACTGTAGAGAAACGGCAAGAGCTCCTGCAGATGTATCGATCGGGCGCTATCAGTGCTGAGGAACTCATCCGGATAATCATCACCCTGATTGAAGAAACAGAAGAGAGGAGCAACACCTTGAAGTTCCCTGGTCTCAGGAGGCAAGTGTCTGCCTCGGAACTCTTCAGCTCCCAAATCATTGATCGAGACACACTGTCTGATCTCACGCGGGGAGCCAAGACCGTGGAGGAGATCACAGAGATGGATTCGGTGAAGAGGTACCTGGAAGGCACCAGCTGCATTGCCGGAGTGCTGGTGCCATCCAAGTCAGACCCTTCCAAGATGCAGACGATGACCATCTACGAGGCCATGTGGAAGGGCATTCTCACGCCAGGCACTGCCCTGGTGCTGCTGGAGGCACAGGCCGCCACCGGGTTCATCATTGACCCGCTGAAGAACGAGAAACTCTCTGTCGATGACGCCGTCTCTGCCGGACTGGTGGGTGCCGAGCTCCAGGAGAAGCTTCTCTCTGCAGAGAAGGCCGTGACCGGGTACAACGACCCCTATACAGGGAACAAAATCTCCCTTTTCCAGGCGATGAACAAAGGCCTCATTGTCAAAGACCACGGCATCCGCCTGCTGGAGGCCCAGATTGCCACCGGGGGCATCATCGATCCTGTGCATAGCCACCGCCTCCCCGTGGAGATGGCATACAAGCGGGGCTACTTTGATGAGGAGATGAACCAGATCCTCTCAGATCCAACTGATGACACCAAGGGCTTCTTCGACCCCAACACTCACGAAAACCTCACGTACATGCAGCTTCGGCTCAGATGCATCCCTGATCCGGATACCGGTTTGCTGATGCTTCACTTGATGGAAAAGGGCTCCTTATTCTTTGCTCTAAATGACAACACACGGAAGTCTTTGCAGTCTGCCAAGACCACGGTCGGCGTGGGGATTTTCCAGGGCCAGGAGGTCTCCGTCTGGGACCTCCTCTTCTCCAGGTACGTCCCTCCGCACAAGAGGCAGGAACTACTAAGGCAATACAAAGCTGGCACTATCACTCTCCAGGACGTCATCCAAATCCTCACCGCTATCGTCACTGAGACTGAGGAAAGGAACACCAGACACACCGAGTCCCACAAACAACCTCCCAGTCCACCCAAAAGAGAACCACTCAAACCTGATGCGACTCATCCAAGCCAGGAGGAAACCTGGGAAACAACCTTGAAGACCACAGCCACCAACATGCCTGCAGGCGAACACCAAGGTCAGCAAGTCTTTGTGTGGGATCTGCTCTTCTCCAGTTACATCACTGAGGAAAAGAGGACAGAATTGCTGGAGCTGTACAGGAGAGGGATGCTGCCGATCGACCGGCTGATCACCATCCTCACCACTCTTGTCCTGAAAAAAGAATCCACAAATAGGAAACTTGACATCAAAGTGAGAAGCCCATCCCACGAGAGGGCGGCAGATGAAGAAGCCCATCTTTCCCCCCGCTCGGGGCCAGAAAACTGGGAAACTTCCTTGCGGTCTCATCACATCCAAGTGCCCCTTGGTGAGTGGCAAAGCCAACAGCTATCGCTGTGGGATGCCCTCTTCTCCCAGTTCGTCCCAGATAAGGAACGAGAAGAACTTCTGAGCAACTACAGAAAGGGCAAAGTAAGCCTCGAGGAGCTCACAGAAATCCTTGCTTCCTTCTTTGCTGAGACCACAAGCAGAGTGACTATGCAGTCCGGGGGCCCAGACACACCTAGTCCAGCTGTGACATCTTTAGCAGAAGAGGAGGAGGCGGAGGATGCTTCCGATGCAACAGAACGGGGTGAGAAGGAAAGGGCCTTGAAGGCCCGGATGGTTGAAATCACTGTTGGTGAGTTCCGTGGCAAGAAGGTCTCCATCTGGGACCTGCTCCATTCCAAGTACATCCCTGAAGAGAAGAGGAAAGAGATCCTGCACCTGTACAGGACTGGCATTCTCACCACTGACCAGGTGGAAACCGTGGTCACCGGCATCGTAAGCAGAACAGAGGAGGAGAAAAAGAAAGAAGCAGCCTCCCTCTCAGACGCTCCGTCATCCTGGGAAGACCCCTTACGGAATCACACTGTGGTCCTGCATGTCGGTGAATTCCAAGGCCAGGAAGCCTCCCTGTGGGATCTCCTCTTCTCTCAGTATGTCCCAGAATATAAAAGGGAGGAGCTTCTGAGCAACTACAGGAAAGGCCTGCTAAGTGTGGAGAAGCTGACAGAACTCCTCCTTGCTGAGAGCACAGCCATAGTTAGTGGACATCCCAGTTCCCTCCAAACACCTGGGTCTGCCGTGGCATCTTTTGCAGAGGAGAAGGACACATCAGAACAGGGTGAAACAGAAAAGTCTTTGAGGGCCCGAATGGTAGAAATAACTGCTGGCGAGTTCCGTGGACAGAAGGTCTCCGTGTGGGATCTAATCCATTCAAAATACATCCCTGAAGAGAAGAGGAAGGAGCTCCTGCAGCTATGCAAGAGTGGCATTCTCACCACTGACCAGATGGAAACTGTGGTCACTGGCATTGTAAACAGATCAGAGGAGGAAAGAATTAATGCAGCAGCCTCCAGTGTCAGCTGTGGTCCAGTCATCTCAGGGGAGGGGGAAAGTGTGCAGTCCTCCTACTATGACCTTCTACGGCATACTTTATGCCTGGAGAATATTGATGTAACCATCCGTGAGATCCAAGGCCAGAAGTCCTCTGTGTGGGACCCTTTCTTTTCACAGTTTGTCTCCAATATCAGGACAGAGGAGGTAGTACACAGACATGGCGCACCAGCAGTAAGTGTAAAAGAAAGTATCAGAAGCATCACTACTCTTATTACAGAAACTGAAAGCGTGCCGTTTGCAGTGGGGCAGAGTATCAAGGGAGATGTTATGTCCCCAGATATATTCACGGCTTCTGCATCACAATGCCAGGCAGAAACAGAGAATGCCTTGAAATCAAGCATGCTAAAGGGATCTTTTGGTGAGGTATTTGATCAACAGGTTTCCCTTTGGGATGTATTGCACTGTGAATACATCCCTGAGGAGAAAAGGAAGGATTTGTTGGATCTGTTCAAGACTGGCATGCTCACCATTGACCAACTGGAAACCATAGTCACCACCATCCTCAACAAAATAGCAGAAGAGCATAGGAGGGAAGGACCCCACTCAATCTTGCAATCAGAACTCTTGGAAGACTCATTACAGAATCACACTGTGGTCCTACAGGTTGGTGACTTCCAAGGCCAGGAAGCCTCCCTGTGGGATCTGCTCTTCTCCCAGCATATCCCACAAAACAAAAGGGAAGAACTTCTGATCAGCTACAGAAACGGCAGGATAAGTCTTGGGGAGATGACAGAAATCCTTGCTTCCCTCTTTGCCGAGACCACAACCAGAGTTAGTGGACATCCCAGGGGCCCAGACACACCAAGACCTGCCACAGCATCTTTTGAGGAAGAAGAGGAGAAGGAAGAGGAGGAGGAGGAGGAAAACGACGACAACGATGCTTCTGATGCAACAGAACAGGGTGAAACAGAAAGATCCTTAAAGGCCCGGATGGTTGAAATAGCTGTTGGTGAGTTCCGTGGCAAGAAGGTCTCCATCTGGGACCTGCTCCATTCCAAGTACATCCCTGAAGAGAAGAGGAAAGAGATCCTGCACCTGTACAGGACTGGCATTCTCACCATTGACCAGGTGGAAACCGTGGTCACCGGCATCGTAAGCAGAACAGAGGAGGAGAAAAAGAAAGAAGCCGCCTCCGGTGTCAGCTGTGCAACAGAACAGAGTGAAACGGAAAGGGCCCTTAAGGCCCGGATGGTAGAAATAGCCGTTGGTGAGTTCCGTGGCAAGAAGGTCTCCATCTGGGACCTGCTCCATTCCAAGTACATCCCTGAAGAGAAGAGGAAAGAGATCCTGCACCTGTACAGGACTGGCATTCTCACCATTGACCAGGTGGAAACCGTGGTCACCGGCATCGTAAGCAGAACAGAGGAGGAGAAAAAGAAAGAAGCCGCCTCCGGTGTCAGTTGTGCAACAGAACAGAGTGAAACGGAAAGGGCCCTTAAGGCCCGGATGGTAGAAATAGCCGTCGGTGAGTTCCGTGGCAAGAAGGTCTCCATCTGGGACCTACTCCATTCCAAGTACATCCCTGAAGAGAAGAGGAAAGAGATCCTGCACCTGTACAGGACTGGCATTCTCACCATTGACCAGGTGGAAACCGTGGTCACCGGCATCGTAAGCAGAACAGAGGAGGAGAAAAAAAAAGAAACTGCATTCGGTGCAAGCT